TCACAAAGCCAAGAGATGAAAACAACCTAAACATCCATCAATGAAAGAATGGATAAAGAAAATGTAGTGTATCCATACAATAGAATACTATTCAACCCTAAAAAAGAAGGAAATCTTGTCCCCTGCTATAACATGGATGAATCTTGAGGATATTATGCTAAGTGAAATAAGCCAGTCACAAAAAAAGACAAATTCTGCATGATTCCACTTATATGAGGTATCAAAGTAGTTAAAATTCATAGAAACAGAAAGTAGAATGTGATTACCAGGGGCTGAGAGGAAGGGGAAATGGAAAGTTATTGTTTAATGGTACAGTTTCAGTTTTGCAAGATGAAAATGTTCTGGAGATCTATCACACAACAATGCACATATAGTCAACATTACGGTACTGTACATTTAAAAATGGTTAAGATGCCTGTAGTTTCTGTCACTCAGGAGGCTGAGGCAGAAGGATCACTTGAGCCCTGGAGTTTGAGGCTGCAGTGAGCTATGATCATGCCTGTTAATAAGCATAGCACTCCAGCAAACAAGCAAGAAAGCCAGGGAAGAAGGAGGGGAGGATGGAGGGAGGGAGGGAGGGAGGTTAAGATGATATATTTTATATTATGTGTTTTTTTACCATGATAAAAAAATAAAGACTCTATCTTGCTAGCAGAATATTCTAGAGGCGCCTTGCTGGCTTGATGAAGTAAACAGTCATATTGGGGAATCTCAGGTGACAAAGAATTGCAGGCAGCATCTAGAAACTGCAGGTGGTCTCTAGGAGCAGAGGGCAGCATCCAGCAGACACCCAGCAAGAAGCCAAGGCTTCCTTCAGTCAAGGAAATGAATTCAGACAAGACCAACAACTTGGTGAGCTTGGAAGTAGATTGTTCCTTGGTCACATCTCAATATGAGAATGTAGCCTGCCTAACACCTTGAGCAGAAAACCCAGCTCAACCATGCCTGGACTCCTGACCCACAGAAACTGTGATAACACGTGTGTGTTATTTTAAGCCACTAAGTTTGTGGTAATTTGTTATGTGGCAATAGATAACTAACACAAAATGGATGGCATAAGATAACTTGCTTTCAAATAACTGATTTCTGGTGACATGGTCCAAGTGAGATAGCTAAAAGAACCTTTTGGGCCTTGATCTTTGTGGAACCTTGAAACAGTAAAAAGTGTTCATGGTGAAGAGTAGTGGCCCTCAGGCCAATAAACCAGTGTTAAGTCATAAACATTCATAGCTCTGTCGCATCCTAGCTTTACCAACTCTGTAACCCTTGTGAGATTCAGGTTCTTTCAACTGTAAAGGTGGAGTTAACATTAACTATTTCACAAGACAGTTGTAAGGATCAAATGAGACAAAGAATGCAAAACGCCTGGGACACGGCCTTGGCTGGTTGCCTTCCTCCTACTCTTCCCCTACTAAGTCTCCCTGTTATAGGAATTCTCTTTCTCACAAAGGTTCAATTCTGTTGTAGTAAACTACACACACATATCTCTTCTTTTTTTTTTTTTTTGAGTTGGAGTCTCACTCTGTCGCCCAGACTGTTCACGGACACCACAGCCTTGACTTGCTGGGCTCAGGCAATCCTTCCGCTTTAGCCTTCCAAGTGGCTGGAACCACAGGCACGTGCCACCATGCCCAGCTAATTTTTCTTGAGTTATTGTAGAGATGACATTTCACCATGTTACCCAGGTTGGTCTGGAACCCACAGGCTCAGGCAATCCTCTCACCTTGGCCTCCCAAAGTGCTGGGATTATAGGTGTGAGCCACCATGCCCATCCTACACACACATCTCTAAAAGTAATCTGTATACCCTGAGGGCTGGTTTTAAAACTTGGTCAGCCTTTATAACCTCCTTGTACCTAGCATAAGATTCAGTAAATGCTTGTTGATCTGTTGACTCATTAACCAAATAAAAGTTTTCAAATGCGAGGCAGTTAATCCCTTTTTAATTCTGTTTTAAATACAAATTTTATTATCAAGAGGGAGTCATGACCTGGAGGAACTCAAATCACCTTATGAAAAAGATACCTGCACATGTATGTTTACTGCTGCATAGTTCACAATAGCAAGAACATGCTGCCCATTGAAAGAGCACTGGATTAAAAAAATGTGGTACATATACACAATGGAATACTACACAGCCATAAAGAAGGACAAAATTATGAACTTCACAGAGACTTGGATGGACTCAGAGTCTGTAATACCAAGTGATCTATCACAGAAACAAAGAACTGAGTATCACATGTTCTCACTCATAAGTGGACACTGAACAATTATCATAATACTATAAGAAAAGGAATGGCAGTAGTGGGAAACTGCCAGAGGAGGGGGGAGGTGGGATTGGCAGTAGTGGGAAACTGCCAGGGGAGGGGGGCATACCTCATCAACAAGGGTACCTTCAAAATGAACATTTATATGCCTAATCCTGAACTGTACCCCACATCTTTAAAATAAAAAAATTAAAAAGAGGGGGTCATGGTGATCATCCATTGCATTTATATATTCATGACAATGAAAAAGCACAATTCAATTCACTGTCATGAGGAAAATTCAAATTTCCTAGGGTTCTACACTTCTATATATGCACAAACACAATCACAATGGGCTTTTTTAGCCATTTGTTTTTCAGAATAAGTTCTCTATTTTTGCTTCAACTAGACAGCTATCATTAATGCTTAGTCACAGAGGTCTAATCTACTGTTACCAGTAAATGTGTAACAAGCTCTCCTAAGTCTTCTGACATGTTAGGCGGAAGCAGAGGAGGAAAGGGCTTTCTGAGGTCGAGCCAATGGTATCAGGAAAGACGCTACTCACAGTAATTTAGGTAGTTAAGACTCAGTGCTATTTTTAAAGATCTTTGAGAAAGACATTTCAGATTCATAAACTCCCACAGTGACTCACTATGGCATGAAATCCCCAAAGTGTGGGAAGGGCAACAGAGAATGTACTTCTGCTTTCTTTTTTATATACAGGGTATTACTAGAAAAGGCAGAAAATCACTTGTTGAATGTTTGGGATTGTCATTTGGCAATAGTCCAACCCCTCAGCAGACTGAGGACACTGCTGGTTCCTTTTATGCTTTCTATCACTGCAAAAATCATCCTTTGACTCATGTCAGAACCCAAGCAAAGCAAGGCCCTCAGCAGGGTGTCTGGGAAAAAAGGTTTTAAAAGAAAAGTCATTCCACAGAGAAGCTATACTGTAATCCAAAGTGTTCCCAAACACTTTGGTCTCAGCACATTTAAAAATTACCAAGGAATCCAAACTGTTTATCTTTGAGACTTCTAGAAAACATAAGAATACACAGCTGGGGGCGATGGCTTATGCCTGTAATCCCAGCACTTTGGGAGGCTGAAGTGAGAGGATTGCCTGAGCTCAGGGGTTTGAGACCAGCCTGAGCAACATGGCGAGACCTCATCTCTACAATAAATCAAAAAAATTAACTGGGTGTAGTGGTGCACGCCTGTGATTCCAGCTACTTAGAAGGCTGAAGCAGAAGGATCACCTGAGCTCAGCAGGTCAAGGCTGTGGTGGCCGAGATCCTGCCACTGCACTCCAGACTAGGTGACAGAGTGACTCTGACTCAAAAAAAAAAATTACTACACAAGCACATATTAGTCACCAGAGTGATGACATCATCACATATCCTGTAAACTTATTTTTTTTTACTTATTTTAAAGATATGGGGTACAACTCAGGATAAGGCAGATAAGTGGTTATTGCACAATACATTTATAATTATTTCAAAAAATTAAAGGAAATGAAACACAGGATGGAGCAAGTAGGGATTACAACAACTTTCAACAGCAATGGAAGCCAGAAGTTAGTCAGACATCATCAGTATGCTAAAAGAAAACTTCCAAACCTCAAAATCTACAAGTAGTGAAGTCAATCCTTCAAAATTTGTAAGATGAATTAAAAACACATTTAGATAAGTAAAAGTGAGAAAATTTGACAAAAGCAGACCTTTACTAAAGGAAACTAAGGAGAAAATGCACCTCAGGCAGAAGGAAAGTGTTTTCACAAGGAAAATCAGAGATTTTAAAAAGAATAAGAAGGTAAAAAAAAAATGAAAGAAAACATTCTGTTAACTCTAAAAACTACAAGGAAAATAATTATTGAGGAATTCAAATAGCTTACCTTAGAAAATTCTAGACTGGGCTCGGTGGCTCAGCCTGTAATCCCAGTGCTTTGGGTGAGTGGATTGCCTGAGCCGTGGGTTCGAGACCCGCCTGGGCAGCGAGACCTCACCTCTACAATAAATCAAAAAATCAGCCGGGCGTGGGGGTGCATGCCTGTAATTCCGGCTACTCGGAAGGCTGAGGCGGAAGGATCGCCGGAGCCCAGCGGGTCGAGGCTGCGGTGGCCGGGAGCGGCCACTGCACTCCAGTCTGGGCGACAGAGTGAGACTCCAACTCAAAAAAAAAAGAAAATTCTAGAAAACACAAGAATATACAAGCACACATTCCTTTAGTCATCAATGACATCATCACACATCAGGTCATCTGTGGAAAATTCCAGCAAGAATGAAAAAGGCAAATGTCTCACTATTATTATAAAACTAGTTCGGCCACAGTCTCTGAAAAGATCTTGGGATCTGCTGGGTCTTCCGGATCACACTTTGAGAACCGCTGCTCTAATCCTTCTCTCATCTCCTAAGGCCAGGCCTCCCGAGTTGGCCTCCCAAACACCAAGAACACCGTTCAGGGCCCGCAAAGGAAACTTCCCTTTACCTTCTGCAAAGTTACTGGAGGACGCGCGGTCTCCCAGTCGGGTTTCCGGGAGGGCTCCGCGAGATGTCGCTAGAGGGCGTCGCTACAAAACCCGTCGCACCTCTCCAGCCCGGCTCACCCCCTCCGGGTTCACATGGGTGCCCGGAAGAGAGAGCGGTGCCCGGAAAAAGGGGCGGTGCGTCGCGGAGTCGCGGCCTCATTGGACGGGGTGCTTCCGCCTCACGGCCCGGGGCGGGGTTTCTTCGAGCTAAATAGACGGGCAGTGCAGAGGATCGAGTGCGCAGCTCTTATTCGCGGCTCCTCGGAAGCTTTTCTGTTATTCACGCGGCTCGCTAGGTCATGGTGCCAACGTGACTGAGAAGAGGACGCTCCCGGGAGACGAATGAGGAACCACCTCCTCCTGCTGTTCAAGTACAGGGGCCTGGTCCGCAAAGGGAAGAAAAGCAAAAGACGAAAATGGCTAAATTCGTGATCCGCCCGGCCACCGCAGCTGACTGCAGTGACATTCTGCGGCTGATCAAGGTAGCGGAAAGCCCGAACTCCTCCCGGGGCGTGGGATGGGAACAGCCACCTCCGTTTGCGAGGGGAAGTCTACGTCTTCAGGCCTGAGCTGGTGCGAGAGCCCATCCTGTTCCCTTTTCTCCACTCGCGCCTCCCCTAACCCCAGCCCTGACAGGCAGGACTCTGGCTCCACCCTGCCCCTCCTGCCCCATTCCCTACCTCTGAGCTGTCTGGACCAGGCCTAATTTTGTTTTCTATTTCTTTTTCTCCTATGTGCCTCGCCCCAGGAACTGGCTAAATATGAATACATGGAAGAACAAGTAGTATTAACTGAAAAAGGTAACGCGACAGTGCCAGGGCGAGGGATAAACGTTCTGTGCCTGTCACTTCCACCGATGCCAACACTGTCCCCCCTGCCCCTTCTCACAGATCTGCTAGAAGATGGTTTTGGCGAGCACCCTTTCTACCACTGCCTGGTTGCGGAAGTACCTAAAGAGCACTGGACACCGGAAGGTAACCCCTCTTCCTTTCCAGAAGCCAGAGAGACCGAGTGATGTGTAAAACGTAGTGTCCGCTGTGTAGAACCACTGACTACACAGACCGAAGTTACTTACTGAGAAGTTGGACAGAAATAATAGCCAGCAAGTGTTCAAACTACTGAGAAAAAAAATAGAGGTACTTCACTTAATAATAGGGCAGGTTAAAAGAGCTGTTTAAGTATCAGAATGCTGTGGAGACCCCTGAAGAGTTTAAGCTGTTTTAAGTAAGTAAAATGCTGTGGAGACCCGGAAGAGTTAGGTATAATGTCATTTGTTGTAATTCAGTTTCATAGAATGGTTCTTGTTTGACCCTAACGTAACCTTTTTTGTAATTGTGTTAAATCACATTTTTTTCTTTAATTTGTCCCAATCTTCAGGTTACAGTCTCTAGCTTCGCCATGTACATGGCCCTTCCGTGTACATGGATGGGCGGGGAGGTAACTAAAAGATCCTTTACACAATAAAGTAGATGATCATGATAAATGAGGTAAGGTCCTATTATCACACAGTTAAAACACGGTAGATCAGAAACTCCATTACATTCGCTTCCTGTCTGTTTGCAAAGAAATATAAAAAGGCTAGAAGTTTAATTTGAAACCTTTGCCTCCATTTGGAATTGTAGACACCCACTAAGAGGGAGTCAGATGCCTATTTATTTATGTATTTATTTATTTTATTATTGTTATTATTTTTGCTGGTCCCTGTTGACTGGTCAGAAGACAGAGCTAAAAGGGGAAGTTGTTTGGGTGGTTTGTTTTTTTTTCCTGACTTCTGTTCCCCAAGCTAGAAGAAATGAGCAGAAAACATTACAAAGGATAAAGTGCTTTTTAGAAGTATGTGGATGTTACATAATACCTGTTTCTGGGTAATACTGCTGCTTCTGGCTCAAACACTGGGGAAAGCATATTGGAAATGTGTAAATTGGAAGGCAGGTTCTGAAATTAAACATACTTTGGCCTGTTGTTCTGACCTTAAGGAAGCAAGAGTTTGTAAACTTCAAATATTTACTATTCTGAACTGCCGTGTAAACCTGATTTATTCCCAAGCCAACATGCCAGTATATCAACAGGATGTGAATAATGTGTGTGTCTAGTTTAAGACCCTAGTAGTCTTGCTCTGGTAAGTAATGAAAGCATTATCGCTTTCTAAGTGTGAGATCCAGCCGACTACAGAGTGGCCAGTCCACAGTTGAAGCCTGACTTCAGCTATCTCTAATATGTGTTTTTTGCGAATACATGTTCTGAGAACAGTGAAATCATACAACAGTGGCCTGGACTGCACTCACATAAAAGTCAGGAGACAGTCCAGTTCAGTGGCTACTTATTTCTGTAATACATGCATGTATATTTTTAAAAACCTATGATAGGCTTCTGATTCTGCAACTACAACTTTTGGGTTGTTTTCCTTCTCCATATCTCATGTGATGCTCTTATTACAGGACACAGCATTGTTGGTTTTGCCATGTACTATTTTACCTATGACCCATGGATTGGCAAGTTACTGTATCTTGAGGACTTCTTCGTGATGAGTGATTATAGAGGTAAGGTTGAGTTCGGGGAAAGAGTCTGAAGAGAAGTCAGGGTTGTAAATCCTTACAGTGACTTTAAATTGTACCCCTTTTTCTTTTAGGCTTTGGCATAGGATCAGAAATTCTGAAGAACCTAAGCCAGGTATGTCTTCATTTTGGTTTCCAAATTTGTAAGAGCTGCTGAATTATCATAATGATTGGATCAAAACTGAGTCTTGGAAAGCCAGTGAAATATCACTGAGTTTGTGTTTTACTCTCCTTCATGATAGGTTGCGATAAAGTGTCGCTGCAGCAGCATGCACTTCTTGGTAGCAGAATGGAATGAAACATCTATCAACTTCTACAAAAGAAGAGGTGCTTCTGATCTGTCCAGTGAAGAGGGATGGAGACTGTTCAAGATCGACAAGGAGTACTTGCTAAAAATGGCAGCAGAGGAATAAGGAGTGCTGGTGTAGATGATGACAACCTCCATTCTATTTTAGAATAAATTCTTATCTTGCTTTCTGTCCTGTTTGTAGTGAAATAATAGAATGAGCACCCATTCCAAAGCTTTATTACCAGTGGCGTTGTTGCATGTTTGAAATGTGGTCAGTTTAAAATGGCAATCTTGTATGCAGTTTGGAGAGTCAGATTGCTCCTTGAATATCTTTTGATAAACAACAAGGTGGTGTGATCTTAATATATATGAAAAAAACTTCATTCTTGTGAGTCATTTAAATGTGTACAATGTACACACTGGTATTTAGAGTTTCTGTTTTGATTCTTTTTTAATAAACTACTCTTTGATTTAATTGGTGTAAGTATTTTTATTAATCCTTTATTATAACATTTTTCTTGCTGTTGAGTACAAAATAAAAATGGCTGACAAACATCACAGGATAACTACAATTGCTTAAAAATGGTTTTTAACCCAGTTTAAAATTTTTATGGTCATGTGCTATGTTTGTATTAGCCAGTTGGAAAAGAAGCTAGTTGACTTGCAAGATTTTAGATGTAGCAACATGTAAAACATGGCTTTAAATTGAAAACAACACTGTACATACACTTCATCTAACAGAATTTTTTTCTTTTTGAGTTGGAGTCTCAGTCTGTCGCCCAGACTGGAGTGCAGTGGCACGCTCCTGGCCACCGCAGCCTTGACCTGCTGGGCGCCGGCGATCCTTCCACCTCAGCCTTCCAAGTAGCTGGAACTACAGGCGCACGCTACCACGCCTGGCTAATTTTTTGATTTATTGTAGAGATGAGGTCTTGCCAAGTTGGCCAGGCAGGTCTCAAACCCGCGAGCTCAGGCAATCCACTCACCTCAGCCTCCCAAAGCGCGGGATTACAGGCTGAGCCACCGAGCCTGGTTCATCTAACAGAATTTTTAAGAGATGAAAAACCAGGTTAGAAACAGGCACACAATGAATAAGCCCATCATTTTATAAGTAAAATATGGAGGTGGAATTATGAAACACTGAAGATCAGGAAAAAACATCTTGTCCCCAACATCATCATCCCACACAAGATAACTTTTTGTAGGTAAAGTGGATCACTGCTAATCAGGCAAGAGCAAGAAATCACACATTTACAGAAAATTTGCAAATAGACTCCAGCTGTATATAGGTACAAATCAGGTAACTGAGCATCCTATTTGGAGGATTTGTGGTACTGTGTTAATACAATGAGCATTTACAGTAGAGAAATAATAGGAACCCTTAAAACTGCCGTGGGTGGGGGAAGGTAAGGGAGAAGGGCAGAAGTAAACAAATGACAAATGCAAGCAAATGTCTTTCTCAAAGACAAAATGAAACAGAAGAGGCAAGCGGAAAAGACAGTTTCCCCCTTAGATATGTGAACTCCTTTCCATTACTCATTACATTGACCCCAATTCCTAAATCCACGAATTCCCACAATAATGAAAATGGTAGTTGATGAGAATCACTGCAGAATAATATCTAAGATAAATATTTTTGAAAAAATATCAGATACCTGAAAAACAATATCTGTTATTGTGTTCTCCAGGAAATTACTGAGCTCCCCTGTCGAAGGGGATTTTGTCCTGCATTCCTTTGTATCAGTCATAGCTTTCTAGATTACAAAGCAGCCACATAAAAAAGTGGGGCCCTGTATTGTATTTAATATAGAAAAACTTTGAGATTTATTGGTGGTTCAGAAAGCATACCATGAAGACAGGCTTATAGAGAATTCTCAACCAGGGTCCTGCTAGGATGGCAAGTAACTATATGAGACAAACTCTGGCAAAAAAAATAATAAAAGGGTAACTAAACACAAAGAGCCTTGTGGGAAAGTAAGATATTTTGAAATTTGTGTTTTGGAAAATGGGCCTCTTGGAGGAAAACAACTACATGCTGACTGTGGTTAAATATATGAATAAATTAAATTAACCAAGCAAGTTACAATATAATTCTTTGTTTTCTCTTCCTTCTTAAAGCTTAGCCTTAAAGGCCCAGTGTTGTCAAGATGAAAGCTTTTATCAAGTTTTTGTATTCACTTTAAAGTCCCTTACATGTAAAATTTAGAAGCTAAAACACCACAGCATCAGCCAACTGAATGTTTAAAACAATTACAAAGATACCTCTTTTAAAACAACTATAAAACAAGTCTGTAAAGTTTGAAATCACTAGACAAGTAAGAAAACATGTTATGGGGGAATTATCTGAAAGAAAACAGCAAACAATGATAAACTTGGAAAAGAAAAAAAAAAGTCCATGTAAACAACACTTCTGTAAAGATAACTTTAAAATTACTATTTTCCTAAAATACTACACCTGATATAATCATTTGGGAGGAATGGTATTTCAGGCCTAAGGACTTGCCAAATACTGCATCAGGATATTGTTGCATTTACTGGGAGTGTGTGTGTGTGTTTTGAGGCAGAGTCTCACTCTGTTGCCCAAGTTGGAGATCATAGTTCACCGCAGTCTCAACCTCCTGGGCTCAGACAATCCTTCCAGATCAGCCTCTGGAGTAGCTGGGACTACAAGCACACACCAACATGCCCGGCTAATTTTTTTCTTTTTTGGGGGATTTTTTGTAGGGGTGAGGTCTGGTTAAACTGCCCAGGCTGGTGTCGAATTCCTGGCCTCAAGCATTCCTCCTGTCTCAGCCTCCCAAAGTGCTAGGATTACAGGTGTGAGCCACCGTGTCTGGCCAGTTTTTTTTTTTTTTTTTCGTTGTTTGGTTTTGTTTTAATAATTTATCTGCTAAGTTTATGCCCTAAAAGACTTATAAAACAAAAAATTGTGATACTATTAAAACAGGAAGTAGCTGGGTTAGTCCATACATAGACTTAAGACATCCTGCTACCAATCTGATTACAGAGTCCAAGATCATCACTGCTTAGATTCCACAGAGGAGTCTTTCTAGGGAAAGAAAGTAGTCTTTTCACAGAAATGCAGAAAAAGAAAACAGAAGAAACCTAATGATTGATTAACGCCTTAAACCCACACTAGCCCTTCCTGTGAGTCTCCTATCCCCTGGGTACCTGGTGTGGCCTAGAATGAATGATACTTATCACTGCTCCTTGAAGCAAGTGGCTGCTCAAGCAGCAACTGACATTGCTGGCAGTGCCCTGGAAAACCAGCCATCATCTCCCACTGGGAGTGGAGCAACTTCCTCCCTGATTGTGGCAGGCATGGCCTTCCTCTCTGAATATGTAGGTGGCCATGTCTACTCCTAGAATTCTGTCTGTTTGCTTGACTGGTGTTCATCTTTGTTTATTTGCTTCTTCAACATCTTTTCCTGCGGGTTGTCACCTCACAGTGGCCTTGTGTTTCATTCTCATTCCTTTCTTTGTGCTTCCAGTCCAGGCTTCAAGCCAGTCAGCTGTTGCCCACAGCTCAGACTGACAAGCAGCCCACATCCTTATCGAACCCACCCCCATCATCACTGCCTTTGTTGTCCCACCTGTCAAAGGCCACCAAATGCCCTTCTTCATGATATTCTCCTGGCACCCTCCTTCTCCATCAGCGCATTCTTTTTCGTGGCTCACATCTGCCCAACAAATGTTTTAGTAGCTTCCAGATGGTTATCAACATCATAGCTAACAATAAGAGCTAACATTTATTAAGTACTCACCAGGAACCAGGCATTACATTTAGCTCTTTGTATACAGTATTATCTAACTCTCACAACCACTCTGTGAGGTAGGTACTATTATTATTAGTTTATTTTTATAATGAGAAACTAAACCTCTAGGAAGTTAAGTTGCTCAAGGCCACATAAAGAGGTCTGGGAATCAAGCTCCAAACTGATTTCTCAAATTCCTGGGGGTTCCTGCCATATTCTCAGAGGACCTCATAGCCTCTATAAAATAACTAAATATGGTATTTTATTACACTATAAAGAATAATCGGGGTAACCCCTTTGGGGTCCCTCCCACTGTGGGAGCTTTTCTGTCCTCTCAATAAATCCTGCTTTCTCACTTAAAAAAAAAAGAAGAAGAAGAATCAGTGTAAGCATTTTCTGGATCATCAAAATCATTGATTCTCAGAACTGGCTGCATGCATTAGAGTCACCTGCAACGCTTTTTAAAAATACTAGTACCTGGCTGGACGTGGTGGCTCATGCCTATAATCCCAGCACTTTGGGAGACCGAGGTGAGATGATTGCTTGAGTCCCTGGGCTCAAGACCAGCCTGGGCAGCATGGTAAGACCTCATCTCTACAATAAATCAAAAAATAAGCCGGGCATGGTAGCGCATGCCTGTAGTTCCAGCTACTTGGAAGGCTGAGGCAGAAGGATAGCCTGAGCCCAGCAGGTCAAGGCTGGGGTGGCTGTGGGTGTGCCACTGCACTCCAGCCTGGGTGACAGAGTGAGACTCCAACTCAAATATATATACTAATACCCTACCCTGAGAGAGTCCTGATTTACTTATATTTCAGACACTATTGGACTCGTTCAGGGTGGTACTGCCATAGATCCTAATTTACATCTATTTTAATATGCATTCCAAAGCGAAGCCAGGGTTGAGACCCACTGATTTGGATCATCAACTTGTAATGAAATCTTAGTCTTAATGGTTGACTCCATCCATTTCCGTTTCTATTTATGCTGCTCACCTTGGCTCTTGCCGAGCAAAACCAAATGAAGTCACATCACATTGCATGAAGAAGAGAGTTTTTGGAGAAAAATGGTGGGAGAACTGTGTCAGTACTGAAATCAAAGAACATCCATCCCAGCAGTTAGCACCATGTTCCATTGCAAGCAGCAACTTTATTTCAGAAAAACATCTTCCCCCATATTAAATCAGTGTTCATTTGAATTTTATTAGTTTGGTAAATTTGTATGTAACACTGCTACTACCTGCTTTGTAAATATATGCTGATTTTTCAGTTGTATAAGAGCAGTAAACATACAATGTTCACATCTAGGTCAATGTTTATAGTATACTATATATGGTACATGTAATAATTTTATATTAATTTAAGCACCACTGGGGATCTATGAAAATTATTTTTCCTTTAAAGGAGTCTGTGTAACTCCTGTTTGAGAGCACTGCCTACTTTTATTTGTTTTTTTTTAAAAAGTGCCCATATGCCTGTAGCTCCAGCTACTTGGAAAGCTGGGGCGGAAGGATTGCCTGAGTTCAGCAGGTCAAGGCTGCGATGGCCGTGAGAGTGAGACTCCAACTCAAAAAAAAAAAAAAAAAAGTGCCAAAGGCATCAGAGGTAAAACTTAATCATATTTAAGTCTGATTTTTTGGCAAAAGTTCACAGATAATGTGTTTTCCATCCAGAGACAATAATGCCTGGTTGTCTCTATGCTTCTGGCAGCTGTTAATATCAAT